GAAGGGAAACCCCCACCGCCCCCTCCCCGCCGTCGGGGGGGCGCCGGGGGCCGGAAGCGTCAGCGTTACGTGGAGAAGGACGGACGCTGCAACGTGCAGCACGGGAACGTGCGGGAGACGTACCGCTACCTGACGGACATCTTCACCACGCTGGTGGACCTGCCGTGGCGCTTCAGCCTCCTGGTCTTCATCCTGGCGTACGCCCTCACCTGGCTCTTCTTCGGCCTCCTCTGGTGGGTCATCGCCTACGCCCGCGGCGACCTCGACCACCTGCAAGACCACGCGTGGACCCCCTGCGTCAACAACCTCAACGGCTTCGTCTCGGCTTTCCTCTTCTCCACCATCGGTTACGGCCACCGCGTCATCACCGATAAGTGTCCGGAGGGTATCGTCCTGCTGCTGCTCCAGGCCATCCTGGGCTCCATGGTCAACGCCTTCATGGTGGGCTGCATGTTCGTCAAGATCTCCCAACCCAACAAACGCGCCGAGACCCTCGTCTTCTCCTCCCACGCCGTCGTCTCGCTGCGGGACGACCGCCTCTGCCTGATGTTCCGCGTGGGCGACCTGCGGGATTCCCACATCGTCGAGGCCTCCATCCGTGCCAAGCTCATCAAATCCAAGCAGACGCGGGAGGGGGAGTTCATCCCGCTGGATCAGACGGACCTGAGCGTGGGCTTCGAGACGGGCGACGACCGGCTCTTCCTGGTCTCGCCCCTCGTCATCAGCCACGAGATCGACGAGCGCAGCCCCTTCTGGGACGTCTCGCGGCACCAGCTGGAGGGGGACGACTTCGAGATCGTCGTCATCCTCGAGGGGATGGTGGAGGCCACAGGTAACGGGGGGGGCCCTTGGGGACGCGTCATCCCGTGGGGACGCCTCATCGCCATGGGGACATCTGCATGGGGACACCTCATCTCCGTGGGGTCGCAGGGACACCTCACCTCCATGGGGAAACCTCCGTGGGGAAACCTCCGTGGGGACACCTCCATGGGGACACCTCACCTCCATGGGGACACCTCCGTGGGGACATCTCCATTCCATGGGGACACCTCCGTGGGGACATCTCCATTCCATGGGGACACCTCAATTCCATGGGGACACCTCCATGGGGACACCTCATCTCTTGGGAATATCTCCATGGGGACACCTCATCGCCATGGGGACACCTCAATTCCATGGGGACACCTCAATTCCATGGGGACACCTCTGCGGGGACACCTCACCTCCATGGGGACACCTCCATGGGGACACCTCATCTCTTGGGAACACCTTTGGACACCACAACTCCATGTGAATATCTCCACAGGTTCACCTCCATGTGGTCACCTCCATGGGGACACCTCAATTCCATGGGGACATCTCTCTTCCGTGGGGACACTTCACCTCCGTGGGGTCCTGGGGACACCTTCCCTTCCGTGGGGACACCTCATCCCTTGGGGACACCTCCATGGGAACACCACAACCCCATGGGAATGTCTCCGCGGGGTCACCTCCATGGGGACACGTCACTTCCATGGGGACACCTCCCTGGGGACACTTCATCTCCATGGCAACACCTCGTGGGGACACCTGACCTCCCTGGGGACCCC